AGCATTAGAAACTTACATGCATCCAGCTCTACACCTTGTTATCTCAGATTCTCCAGCATCGGCAGTTCCCACTATCTATAAATAGACCTTGCTTTTTTTGACTAAGTAGCAAAGGATAGCTCATGTTTTGCTCTTCATTTCACCCTTCAGGCGACATCTACGGAGTGCATTTGCAGGAGAATCCAGCAAGTTTTCGAGAAGCAGTACAAGTCCTTCTGTTAGCCGTTCTTTGCTTGGAAATTTTGAGGTATAAATACATAACATTACTAACTATGGTAGATGGTTCTTGGGGATTTCCAACAGGTGACTCCTTCGAATCGGAGTCTGGTTATCAAAACTAATAATTTATTTGCTTGAATTCCTTCCTCATTGGAAATCATCAACAAAGGAGAGAAACAGGGAAAATGAAAACTCTTCCTTCTTCTGGTTTACTGCTACTCTATTTATTTCCTACGATGAGTAGTTTAATGACTCTTATCTGGTCTCATCTCTGAAGTGCCCTTGGAGCATGTTTCCAAATACTGAACTAATAAAAGGGCATGTGCAAAGATCGTGATGTCTGACCTTTTCATTCTTAGACCACATCTCTCCCTGTTACACCCTGCTCATTTCCCAGAAAAGTGCTGTAAGACATTGGAAATTGTGGAAACAGCTGATTAGAGGATGCAATATATGAGTAGTTATAGAGTCATTAGAGTTGTACAGCACAGAAATATACCCTTTAGTCTAACTCATCCATGCTGACCAGATTTCCTAAATAAATCTAGTCCCATTTGCCAGCATTTGGCCCATACCCCTTTAAGCCCTTCCTAATCATATACCCATCCAGATGCCTTTTAAATGTTGCAATTGTACCAGCCTCCACCACCACCTCTGGCAGCTCATTCCATACACGCGTGGCCCTCTGTGGAAAAAATTGCCCCTTAGATCCCATTTTAAATCTTTCCTCTCTCACCTTAAACCTATGCTCCCTAGTTCTGGACTCCCCTACCCTGGAAAAAGATCTTGGCTAGTCACCTTATCCATTTCCCTCATGATTTTATAAACCTCCAAGGCTCCCCCCTCAGCCTCTAACACTCCAGGGAAAGTAGCCCCAGCCTATTCGCCCTCTCCCTATAGCTCGAACCCTCCAACCCTGGCAACATCCTTGTAAATCTTTTCTGAACTATTTCAAGTTTCTCAACATCATTCTTGTAGCAGGGAGACCAGAATTGAATGCAATATTTCAAAAGTGGCCTAACCAATGTTATTTAAGGGTTGTAACTAACAATAATGTTTTTTATCTCATTTCAGGAATCCTTGTTAAAAGGTAGATTTGCACCATCAGGAAGAATCGATGGTTTTACAGCTGAACTTGGAGCAAGTGGATCATACTGCCCGCAGCATGTAACGCTACCTGTGGATGTATCTTACTATAATATTTCTGAACACAGTGCCCCATCACCGTTCCTGGTAAGAGAATATCTTGTAGCATTGTCTGTTAGGATTGTTTACAGATATCCACTTTGATTCAGATGATAGCACGCTTGCTGTGCATTCGGATGTCACTGTAGGGACTAAAGCATAAAAACCTGCAGTACTGAGGAAGCCCTGCCCTGTTAAAGGTGCTGTCTTTCATGTAACATGGTAAAACCAATATCACTGTCCGGCATTTCAAGTGAATGTAAAAGATTCCGTTGTAATCTTTTTCAAAGTAGTGCAGAAAAGTTGTCATTAGTATCCTCATCAGTATTTTACCCTTAATCAACATCACAAAACCAGACTATATGATCGTGACCTTATTGCTGTATATGGACCTTTTGCAATGTGCAAATTGGCTATTGCATTCCTAGTCTGGAATGGTGACTAAACATCAAAAGTACTTCATTGTAAAACACATAGTGACAACATAAAATAAGGAAAAGTACTGTATAAAGTGCAACCATTTTTTTCCTTTCTGCCTGTTTATAATTGAGGACAAGTAATGATTTCATCCATTATCTTTCAAACCTTTTAATTCTTTCAAATCCTTACAATTTTTGTTTCTTCACCATATCAAAATGTTAACGAGCATTCTTTATTACATGACTGATTGTTTCCATTGCTGTGGCATTTTGGTATCACCACTGAAACAGTCTTTGACTGTATTCGCTCAAATTTTGTCATTTTTGTTTTTTTACAATTACAGTTTCCTCAGAACTTGGAATGTTCTGTTAATTTTGAGGCTAATCTGTTGTTGTCCATTGTTAATGTTATAGTGTTAGCTTTTTAAGAGAACTGCAAAGTGTACTGCAGTCTCGAGATTCAGTGGTGCAATGCCTCTCTTTCAGGAGTCCAAGTTTTTACCATGTCAGGCAGTTGTGTAAGTTCATGACAGACTGAAAGTAGATATTTCTGCACATTGGTATAGGCAAAATAAAAAATCTAAGGTCTAAGCCTGACTGAAGCCAAGGGTCCTTTGCATTTATTAATAAAAGATCTATGTCTGTTTGAGGGCCTATCTGCAATATTGAATTGCCATGAGTTAGCCAGGGTTGGGTGCATAAAACCAAGTCTGCATAATACACTGTCTTTGAAGGGACCACTGCAGACTGCCCAATTTAAAAAGTAACTGTTGGATGTAGTGAGGAGCTGTTTGTAGCCAGGAGGAGTTCCGATCTTTCTATCATGTTGTACGTCCCAAATGACCTGTTGCTAGCTGGTTCCACCAACTTCCAAAAGCTGTGTGCCGTGCTTTGTAAAAAGTGCTTCAAAATGTAAAATATTTTCTTTTGAACCTGTTAACTCTAAATGCTGAAAAGTTCAACATGAGTTTGATCAAGGCATAGATTCCTGTCTATACACCTCAATCCTAAATAAGGGACTGTTACACTTACAACAATTTATTTATAGTCTGACTTAATGTGAAGTGCCAAATGAATAGCATAGTTAAGGCATCTCAAAGAGAAGATTCTTCACTATTTGAAATGGAAATGTTTTGACTTTATTTGTTTATTTACCATACTATTTTCCTTTTTGTTTAGGGTGTCATAAATCTGGAATCTTTGGGAAGGAAGGGTTACAATGTCCCCAAAACAGGAACCATTCAAGTGGTGAGTTTAGTGATCTTACCTTTAACCCCTGAAAAGCAACGATCACACGTCGGCTTACATGCTCCTCTCCAAGCTTTTAGCTGAAGCACATTTAACCAACAGAACATTTGAGGTATTGCAATCAATTCCCACCTCTCTGAGCTGTGGCAATGGGAAAAAGCCAGATTTCTGATGCAATTGCTTCTGTATTGTGGTTGGTGAAGACTGAAACTAGAGAATAGGAAGATGGAGATTATTTCCAAGATGGCAGGCTGTTAATAAGTAGGGTATTGCAGGGGTCAGTGTAGGCTCAAAACCGTTCACAATCTTTACAAATGATTTGAATGTGTAGACCAAAAATACAATTTCCACATTTGTTGATGATGCAAAACTAGATGGAAACACAAGTTGTGGAGAATCCTCAGGGAAATTTGGACTGGCTAATTGAATGAAAGGGAAGCAATATGCAAGCATTTACTTCAGAAGTCACACAACATCAGGTAAAGTCTAACAGGTTTACTTGAAATCACAAGCTTTCAGAGTGCTGCTGTTCCGTCAGGTGAACTTCACCTTTCGGAACAGCACTCCAAATATGACTCTAAATAGACCTATTGGACTATAACCTGGTGTTGTGTGACATCTGACTTCGTCCACCCCAGTCCAAAACAGGCACTGCCACTTCATAGCATTTATTTCAAGAGTACAAAAGTCAGGATGTCTTGATGCAGTTGTATAGAGCCTCGGTGAGACCTGACCTGGGGTATTATTTATAGTCTTGGCTTCCTTCTCTAAGGAGGATATTTTCCAGGGGGAAGTGCAATGGACATTCACCAGATTAAAGTCTGGGATGACAAGATTGTTTTATAAAGAGAGATTAAGGAAACTGGGCATGTATTCTCCAGAATTTTGAAGAATAAGACATAATCTCCTTGAAGCTTACAAAATTCTTATAGGTGATGACAGAGTGGATATAGTTGAGATATTTTTCCTAGTTGGTGACTTTAGAGCCAAGGGACTGGGTCACCTCAGATGAGACTTCATCTCAGGATAGGTTGCAGACCTCATTAACAAGAGGAAGAATTCCTTAACTGAGGGTGGCGAGTCTTTTGAATTCTGTACTCACAGGGTTCTTTCTTTGAGTTCCTTGATCACCGAGTATTTCTGGGTGATTTTCTGCATCTTCATCCATGAAGATAGATGCAAATTTCTTCCACTTCCTTAATAAAAACTGAAAGAACTGCGGATGTTGTAAATCAGGAACAAAAACAAAGTTGCTGGGGAAGGCTCAGCAGGTCTGGCAGCATCTGTGAAGGCAAAAACAGAGCTAACGTTTCAGGTCCGGTGACCATTCCTCAGAACTGACTCAGTTTGGAGTCAGTTCTGAGG